ATTTTAACCGGATATTTACATAAAATTACATTATTTTGATTAAAATTATTAATTAAAGAGTTTCATTTTGAAGTACACAAGTTCCTTAATTTGTAATTTTATATTCTGTATTTTTTCTTTTATCTTATAAAATTGATTTTTAAATTCTCGAATAGATTCACGTATTGAATCTAAGTTTTTATTAAAGAAGCCATTTGATTAGCTAGTCTCTCATTACAGTCGTTATGGAATATATTATCGGATTGAATTAAGTCTGTAGTTGAGGTGTTTGTAATTTCTTTAGTGTTAATTATTGATTTACAACTTAGTACATTCGACTCACCTGAAGTTGACGGTAAATCTTGTTTGTCGTTGTCTATCTGCGAGTCAGTTCCATCTTTAGACATATTCTATACTTCTTTAACCACTAGTGAACTGAAGTCAGTTATTAATTTAGTTTTAGAAGTAAAAAGTTCTTTCTTGTTACTTGATTCGCTTCGACCCGACCGGAGTCTTCCACGTTTTGTTGAGGACCGGAATTAGATTGCACTGCAGAAATAAGTAAAAGTATTAAAATTAATTTGATATTATCGTATTTTCCCAGTAAAGAATATTTGAAAAACTTCCTTGGCATTGTTAAGGTCTGAGAGAAAATGCGCCAGCAGCTTCGGCATTCACAATACGCACCCTTTAAGATATAATATTTTCAATTTCTGTCTACTTGACCATTGAAAGTGTGCCATTTCGTACTATTGAGTATCGCGATAAACGTATACAATGGTAGGCTGAAATAATGGTTTTCGTTTTAATATTTATATTATAGGGTTCGATTTATATAACTATTGATATAAAGGTTACCTTACGTAAGGGTTTATGAAACCGAGTGACCAATCTAACACATTTTAAGAATTCTTTATTCCTCTACTGTACACAATTTAAAGAATTTTTAAAATGTGTTAGATTGGTCACTCGCTTTCATAAACCCTTACGTAAGATAATCTTTGCAGTTACATAAATCAAATACAGTACTATAATATACTGTAATATAATAGAAGGGTTAGAAGTACGAAATAATCTTAATGTTTATTCTTATTTTTTGGCCGGACAACGCCGGATTTACCCGCTAGTTATTATAATAAATTATTTCATTAATTTTACTGAAATTTTAAAAGTTACAAACAGTACCTGTCACGTCGGCAAACCCGTTCTCTAGTGTAAAATGCTTCGTGTTTGGATAACTATGTTAAATTTTCAATTGGCTATTAATTAATATGCCTCAAAACCTAACTTATCGTAACGATCACAAATAACTTTAATGTGACTGTTTTATCATTTCAATTTTATTGACTCCAATATGCATTTTGAAATGATAAAACAGTCATCCTTAAGTAATTTGTGGTCGTTATGATAAGTTTCTTTTGAGGCATATTAAATAGCCAATTGAAAATATGTAAAAATCTTAGGAGATCATTTTTTGACCGATGGCCATACTTTTACTCGGTGTATATAACAACCAGAAAGTAAAAATAAGCAGTTAATTAATACAATGCCAATTTTTTAAAAAAATTAACTAACATAATTATTGCTCAAACCATATTGAAGCGATAGACTATTATTCTCTTTATCACCACCATATTGTGATTATTTCATAGTGTAATATGTATTTATATACTGTAGATTAGAGTAGGTAGTTCCTGGTCGAAACCGTTTTGGACTCGGAACAACTAGGAATTTTGTTCATACCGATTGTCGAAACAGTTCCGTTATGAACTATTTCCGGCTTTTTAATTTTGTGCTTCTACGAATACAGTTTTTCACGGAACGATGAACCGGATTTGAACTGGAACTAAATGAAAATATTCGACGAGTTTTTGGGAATAATGAAATAGTTTCGAGTATTTTAAACTTATAAAGACATTTAAAAAGTTTATATTTTTATTACAGTTGGTTATTGTTTGTTTTTATTAGTAACTAGAAAATACATTTGGCATTTCTCGGCCAAAAAATAAGAAAGTAATAATAAAATAATAATAATAAAAAAGTTAATTAATAATAATAAAAACCATACTAAAAGTTTGGTTATTTTAACCTTCCGTTTTCAGGTTATTAGGAATTGTCGAGGAAATCAAATCGAGAGAAGCGAAAGACGTCAAAGTTTTGCAGAAGTCTATATTTTCCTCAGAGTCCCAGAGAATAACAAGAAAAATTTGGAGCGGATCGACTAAAAAGCTAAGAACATATATAAATAAAACCAACGAGGAATTGTCTAGTACAGTGGTTTCAAACTCAAACGAGCAAAGAGCCAGTCAAATATATATACATCAGCCGTATTCAATATTATTCGGTAAACCAAAACATAAAAAAGGCTCTAACAATCTCTAACAATGGCCCTTTCGTTGCCAGGCCTTTACGACTTATGTAAACAGTAAGATGTTTGAATTTTTTCTGTTTTAATTCCCCGCAAGATGTTAGAAATATTGATTTTTAGAAGAGAAATCAAAGCCGTGGGCAGGATACGTGCCATATCCGACCCGCTACGTCAGTTTGCGACTCCTAGTCTAATCCAACAGCAATTCTGACGATTCGGAGCGAATCTTCGTCGTAAATGGCGCTCTGCATCGACAATACGGAAACGTTGAGACAAATTATACATTGGGAAAATTTATTGTATTTTTCCTATGAAAAATAATTTAAAATTTTCACGTATATAACCAGAGTCGATAGATATACTGGCCCTTGAGCTATGCTCTTAAATACAGTTAATGTGTCCAGGTAGCCGATAGCTAGCGCTAGAGTCGCATTACGGCGCGAAGTTGTTAGTTGTTTATTTACAATATTTGGTTAGCAGGTAGTTTTACCGTTTTCAAGCATTTTTGTAACTATTTTTCTACTGTTCTGTCAAAAAATTTATTCGTTATTACATTTTTAAATTTTATATCATGTATAAAGAAAGAAAAAATACAGTATATTTGGTTTATAAAGAAATTTAATAAGATAATAATTTGAAATTACAGATGATGTGGACAAATCGATTTAATTTATCCAGGTTTTAAGTAGAGATCTGTTTAAAACTGTTAATTTTCATTCACAATATTTAGCAATATTTGTACATAATGTTCTGAGTAGAACATATCTGTTCGATACATAGGTAATGGGTAATATAAATAAATAAATTTGCATTTTACTGTTTTATTTTTTACATATAGTTAGGAAAACCATAACTTATTCTCTGATTCGAGTACATTTAAATCGCCATAGAAATTTAATCCAGATAAAGATGAACTATTTTTAAAATAATTTATTCACTTTAACGCTACATAAAGTGTGCTATACAATTTTACTTAATTCACTATATTGAGAAATAATATTTAGGATGAAATAATTTTGTATTTTTGACACGAGAAATTACATTTTATATAACACTCACATTGGCTCTACATAGTTTGGTAATTTATATAATATTCTGCACTATCGAAAGTAGAATATGAATGAAGATTTATTGATGGCCTACTACACCTGTCCGTGGTTTATATAGGCCTAAAACAACAGTAACTTGTCTTTCTTTTAGACTCCATGTCATCACTAATCATTATCACTGTCAATATCTAATAATATTGTCTGAACTCTTGCCATATATTTTTATTTGTTAACCTTTAATTCATCATCCTTTAATTACCTCTAAGTTATTACGTGCCTGTAAATAAGTTGAATATGTTGTCTAAATAGTTAGAATTTCCTCTTTTTTCTCTAACAATCTATATTTGAAATCCAAGAACCAAACTGACTTTTAATCTCCCTTCTCTAATCTGTTCCTAACTTTTTTTGGCTCAACTTTAATCTCTCTCTATCTCATCAATATACACAATATAAATTGTGAATAACATATATCATAGTTCTTTTCTCATTGCAAACTACAATAAGACACTTAATATTAATTAATGAAAAAATATATGGGCTTAACCTTGATAAACTCCAAAGCCACCCTAAATCCTAAATCTCCTACTGACTAGTCTAGTAACATTATACTAGACTAGTGACTAGTATAATGTTATTTGTTTAATTATTGTACGATATAACGAATAAAATATCTAATTATTCTTAATATAATGTTTTACTATATCGTCCAGAAAATTGTTTTTCGCCCCCAGAATATAAATTGTTACTAATCGACCCCTTAACATGGAAAAACGCCCATATGGCGATATCGCCCCCGTTGAGAAACACTGGTCTAAAATTATAAAAGTGACAGTTAATAGAAATAGAAATATTAATGACATTTACGAATAAATAATGTTCGAAACCGAATTAAAATAGTATTTATAAGCAATCCTTTAATAAAGACAAAAGCAATATCTGAGTTAAAAACGAGAAAATATTATATATTAAAAGAATTTCGAATGTTTACAGCAGACTCTCCCTATGCTCCAACCAAACTTACGCCGCGAAGCAATTGCAGCGCTAGAAGTGGCAGAAATGTTTATTACTCCACTTCCGTAGCATTAGCGCTATTGGCAGCTCAAGGACCAGTATTTTATATTGACGAAAAATGTTACAAATTTAAATAATTTATGTTTAAATTTAATTATGTGAATATTAAAACTTATTTTTTACGGATTAAAAATATTAAATTAAGATATAATTGCATGTTAGGAACTACGTTAAATCCACCAGGGGTCAGTCATGACGTTTAATTATTTATTTTTATTTTAGAAAGAAAGACTTATTTCGAAATTAGCAAATTTTAATCACTTAATATTAAAATAAGTAAATTTATTAACGAATTTTCTATTTGAATTCCAATAAATGTATAAAAAAAAAAATCCGAATAAGATTGTGACGTCAGCTGTCAGCCGCTCCCAATTAATAAGTGATGGAAAAGTGTTCTTAAATGTATTAAAAGAGTAAAACAAATTAATTTTTATATTAAATCTCCGCGAATAATATATAAAAATATTTATAAGAGAAAAAAAAAATGTGAAAATTGACGAAAAAATGAGCGAACGTTTGCGACAAAACGAAACTTATTAAAATCAAAAATGAAGGATTAAGTATAAAAGTTTTTGATAAGTAAATCGAAAAAAATAATTTAAAATATTAATAAACGCTCTAAATATTAAAATATGAATAAATGTGGAACAAGTCATTGGTTTTGAGACTGCGAAAGTCGATTCAAAATGGCGCAGTTGTTGTTTGATGCACTTACAGGTATTGTCATTTATAAGAGTTTTTCGTTCGTTTTTAATAAATTTTATATATAAAAATATACGAAATTAAAAAATATGATATAAAATTTTATAAATTTAATTATATAATATAATTTAAACTTTTATATATTGGCTCTTCCATTATAGGAGTGAAACAGATTATTTATTTAAATATTTTTAAAATTATTGCTTAGAAGAAGAAGAATTATGAAAATAAATTTGTAAAATTTTTTATATTCGAGTTTAAAAATGTTTGGGTTAGAAAATTCAGTAATCAAATAGAGAAATAGACATTTGTGTGTTGTGTGTGACGGTAAAGGTAATTGCTATAGGGGGATAACGTCAGCAATTTGAATAGCTGTAAACACGTGGGTTGAAAGTGTTTACAATGTTTACTATCATCTCTACGAGTTTTCATTCATCTCTATTAATTATTAGTTTCTAATGTGTACTTTTAGGGAAATTTCAAGGTTTCTCTTGTCTTCAGATGTTCAATATAAACATTCTCTTCAATGCAAACATTAATATATTATGCTGTTTTTTTTCATAATAAAGCGTTTACTGTAAATATTTTAGGCTTGTTTTTGCTTTCTTACAGTGTTAGATACTTAAACATATATAATGCATATATTCATTCTAATGAAAATTTTAATTAAGATGACACCAAAAGACAGTTTTTGTTTTATCTGTCTACTGAATTTTTTTGTAATAAAATGTTGAATATAAATATTCATATTAATGCAAATTGTAATGTTTTTTGCTTTTCATTATATTCTGCATAATTGAATTTTATATGTAAACTGTTTTTTCTATTGATTTTTTTTCTTTTTTGCACAAGGAGGATGTTTTAAAAAATGTGTGCATTATTTTTCAGTTTAAAGATTATATAAAGGAATTTTGAAGATTTTTTCAAATGTATCTACAGTTTAGTTATATATCTATTAAATTTTAAATAAGAAAATTATGAAAAAGTTACATGCATTGATGATATAACTCAAACTTTATTAAAATTGAAATTATAGCTTCAGAAATTTTCAACTTTAAGACAGCATTTATAATAGTAATTTAGTTTGTAAACTTTAATATTAAAATAATAAGAAAATTTTTTATTAATGAAACTAGTGTTTATCTGCATTGAATTCCACACCTGTCAATCTTGCTTAATATCTGTAAATGTAGATATTGAGAGAGCACCACCATTTCTACCATTTAGAACATCTGTTTTACATGATCAACAGATCTACATTAATTAAAATTTAGTATTTTCAAAAATGATTAAATGTAAATGTAATTTTATACAGATCAAAGTAAAGAACAATATATTTATATATTTTCATTAATAATTTAAATTATGTTTGTTCAGTGTTTCTGCCTGATTTTACCAATTTTAAAAGTATTATTGCTGATATACACATCTTGTGGTGGTCTTTGTATCCAAGGAAAAATTCCTAGTTTTTATGTAAGATTACTGATAATCTTTTGTAATACATTTATTAAGGAAGCTCTGTAAACATAAATTCAATTCAAACTGCATTTTCTCAAACTGAAGCTTATAAAAGATTATCAAGAGTTAAAAAAGAAAAAGATCAAAGAAAATTCCATATTAATTACAACAAGTAGTCACTTATTAATTAGTATTAATCTTACATCTTTGAACATTTTGTCAGAAGTCAAAAAGTGAAGTATAGCTTGAAAACACTAGATTTCTCAAAGAAAAATTTCTGTTTTCAGAAAAGCAATTTGAATTGAATTATTTTATGAGACAGACATAACTTCCCAAACTTATAGAATTCTTATAAAATGAATGTTATTAAAATTTCATTTTATATATTACAGTAGAACCCCTGTAATTCGTCACCTTTGGGACTGGGGGTATGGTCGGAACACAAAAAAGGTCGGATTATCAGAAAAAAGTAAAGTAAACAATCTTCCCTTTGTCCAGTCTTTGTAGCACTGCTAATTTTTCATTTAAAGAAAGAGTAACGTGTTTACATTTCACTCCTGGCATGTTGAAAAAACACATACTGTAACGAACACAGAAGAACGCTACGGACGGTGAGTCACTGACGAGTCGGGACAAGTTTCTCGACTCTGACCACGGTCGGATTAACTGGAGTGACAGACTAGCCGAGGGCGGACTAGAGGGGTTCTACTGTATTTGGCTATTATTATTTAAATGCAGTTATATTGTCTTAGAATGCTTGTAGTGGACTACACTAGTTAATGTTTATTTTACAATATGTCCAGAAAGTTCATTTATCCCTTATAAATCTTTTAATTTAATAATAAACTCACTAGGCTAGCTGTCCAAGTATGTGCTTCATCATGCCAGACACACAAGTTCATGCACCTCAGCTGCTTTGTGACATTTATGTAAGGATATTCAATACATTGCAAACACCTTTCCTCAACAGGAAAATAACCTGTATTTGCCATTTCAACTCTAATATTGAAGTGAAAGGTCTATATGCATGCAAATAACATCATTCACTCACTACTTCCTCTCCAAACATTGTCATCCTACATTTTGCTCATAAAGATTTATGATAATGATATAGGCCCACAGACTACCCATGCTTACTGTATATGGGTTAATAAATAGCATTCAATTGATTGCTTCTAAGAAACAATTTAACTATCCGAGCAGTTTGTTTGTTCGATTTGCTGGATTTTGAATTGGAGCTTTCTGCAATAACCAACATAGTATCAAAACGAGGTTCGAAATCCAGCAAATCAAACGAACAAACTGCTCGGATAGTTAATTTGTTTCTTAGAAGCAATCAATTAAATCTGTTAGTAGCAGATAAAGATAAAAGATTTGTGCTAAATAGCATTCACAATTCATTTTCTTTATGGGTTAAAACAATCACCTACATAAAATAAATTTTTGTATAGAAAATGTTTTTGTGGAAAGAAAACTTGAAACAATTATTTATAACTGTGATTATAATGATAATAGTTATAAAAGCATGATCTTACATATTAAGTGGCATAGGGTTATTTTTATGAAGTGTTTTAAGTTTAATTTCTTACACACTTTTTCATTGATTGTGTCTTTTCCGTAAATGATTGATATTAACATATAGTTATAACTGTCTGCCTTTGGGTAGAGGGGAAAAAATTAAGCAATGAATGACAATAAAAAAATTCAGGAAATTCTAGTAGTATTGAAAGTTACAATTAACTCTAAAAAAATCTAGACTGCTTGGGGCTGATCAAGTTTCTTCTGTAGTCTATTTATCATTTTTTTTAATAGGAAAAATGGAACTGGTTTTCTTTTAGGTAATAAAAAGTCACTTGAAATTTTGTATAAATATCTACTGTTTAATATTTTAATAAAAATCATTTTACCTAACCTAACTTCACTTCTTTAGATAACAGCTTATAAAGATGAATATACACAATTTATATTTCAAATTTTTAAACCTTTTTTCTGGTTACAATGGTGCCAATACAACAAACAGTTAGATAAGATAAATAAATAGGACAAATAATTCAAAAAGATATATTTTACTTGATTTGTCTCAAATTTCAAACCTTTCTTAAGGAGTTTTTATGATTATTCTCCATAATGTTTTTTAGAAGAATTTCCTCCCTTTATCAGTGGTACACCACACAGATATTTAATTACAAAACTTTCAAATTCTTATGACATAAAAATTATAATAAATTCAGTTTTGTTTTTTTAATGAAATTTAAATTAAAAATTTTTGAAGAATTTACAAACTACCTTTACTACTACCTATCCCTACTACATTAACTGTTACTTATTAAATCATTTAAAACAATCTCAGTTCACCATTCTTATATACACTTCTTACTTATTTGCATCTAACTTTATTCAATTATTTAACATCATTATTATCTCTACTTTCTTCTTGTCAGTCACAGTCTTCTAAACTTCTGATAATATAGCTGCACCACTTTTATTTATTACATTATTTTCTAAATTTAATAAATAAATACACACCTGTTCTGTCATTCTTATATTCGTACACATCCTCTTTGTATAGTTCTTCATTTCCACCCATAGTACTCTTATTGTTTTCTCACATTTTTCTTGAGCTAAATGTGCCTTTAAATTTTTTATTGCTATATTCTTTATATTCTAGTCTCATCATCAAGTTTATGGTAGTTTCCACATATCATACTTCTTTACCTCCTCTTTCCATTTATTGACTTTTGTATGGTGTATATTTTCAAATCTTTTTCATTTCATATCATATCATATATTATTTTTCTTGAAAAGCAGTTGTCCTTCATATTTCTTCACTTACTTTATTTAACATCTTAAAACTGTCATATCATCTGTTAGAACAATCATTCTTTTCTCTATACCCAGGGTGGCCAAACTCCTTGATAGTTTGAGCCATTTTTCAAAATTTGAAATTTTTCGCGAGCCGCAATTAAATACATATTAAAAAGGTATGCAAAAAATTCCAGATTACAAATTATATCCTTAGCAAGAGTGATACAAATTGTTTCCTCCAGAGCACAATGTCAACTGTCCGTTGCAATGACAATTTACAAATTCGAAGTCGGTCGATAACGGACGATTACGCCACTGTTTATGTTCGTTCGCGCAGTTTTCGATGAGTCATATCATTCTTAACTTGGACGGAAATGAAATTTGTTACAACGTTGCACTTAGTCTTTCATATCTGTTGTTAGTAATTTAAAAGACATTTTGAAATACATACGGAACGATGATAATTTTTTAAAATATAATAACACAAAAATGAAAAGGGAACACGAGTACATTTATCGAGAGCCACAAATAATCCTTCAAAGAGCCGCATGTGGCTCGCGAGACGCAGGTTGGCCACCCCTGCTGTATACAGTACTTCTCTTCCTTCCATTCTTCAATATCTTTTATTTTTCTTGCTACCTTGTTCTATTTTGCTCTTCATTTTTTAACTATTCTACCCAGTATAAACTGTTTCTCCAGTCTACTTATTTTCATCTCCNGGACGGAAATGAAATTTGTTACAACGTTGCACT